TTTTATTATTTTATTATAATGTTTATTTTATTTTTTTGCACCTTACAATGCTTACTTAATTTTTTGCACTAGTACTGACATTTGTACTTATTGTTTCATTTGCACTAGTGTATGTTATTGTATTTTTAGTTACTCTTATCTTATTTTATGACACTTGCATGTTGAGTTGCTTGAGGTGCCTGGGATTTAAGATTTTCATTGCCAACATGTACGCAGTATCTGTTGTGCAGATGACAATAAAACCTTTGAACTTTGAGTTGTTATTCATTTAAAATATTTTACAAAACAAGTTCAACGGTTCTCCACTGTGTAGTGTTTTTCATTTTGCTAATGGAGCTTACGTGAAATTGTGTTCACTCATTTGATATGAATAAGCGGTATGACAATTAACAAACTGAATCCTAAATTTCAAAATTAAGGATGTCATCCTTCACCAGAACAAGTGAAACAATCATTCAGTGCTGATTTATACCGAAAGCTCATCTAGCTGAAATCTATTGCGTGTTTATAATTCATTTTTCCAAATGCAAATGAATGTAAGAATCATCCGTAAAAAAATAATTACACTGATGTAAAGAAAATGTTTGTCCTTCAACAATGACCGATCTTGCTGGAATCTCCAGTTTGAATAGCAACATTTGTGTAAAACCTTAACATGACATCAGGCCGATTACTGATTATCGTTCAGTTCAACAGTAGAAGCTCGATTGCCAGAGAGAATTCGTAGTTTAATGATCATGCTCAAATACTGTACATGAATCTTTAGCTTCAATCATGACAACTGGCAAACAAATCTTCCCACAAGGCCCCTGTACAGCATGTCACGTCGTGTTTGATGTGCCATAGAAAAGAGTGGAACACAATGACATGTAAGAAGTATTCATGTTTTCCTGGCATGTTGTGTGAATCATCACTCAAGTTGAATGAATCTGTGGCAGGATTGATGTATGTAGCACGGTTTACATGATCAGTAATGTTCAACAACATAATGTATAATATAAAACAGGAATCACTCATCATTTAGTAATAATGTTGATCAGTGGAGCTGCATCTTCTCGCAGCATCTAAGCTAGCAGGGAAATACAGGTTTTCTCCAAATGTGTTAAAAAAAACCCCATCTGCTAGCTGCTAACGTTAGCTTGTAAACATTCTTTCTTCTCTGACTTCCACCAAGCAAACGCTGATTTTTCACAAAACAACATTCATGCTACTCACAACATTAGCTTCTCTTCGCCAGGTCCGCACACAGTCGCCAACATCCGCAACACGAGCACGAAACTTTCCTATCTGAAGCAACCACCATGTTTCAGTGACGGACTGAAGTCATCCCCTCCGCCCGGAGCCGCTGCAGCTGCTTCCGGGTGGGTCCCTGGGTTGCCAGGTCTGGCGTGATGAAGACCAACCCAATAGAGCTCAACAGCGTAGTTCTCAAAATCCCTTCCAATTCATTTTGTGAAAGAGGTTTTTGATTATCATAAATATAAATATATACACACACAACACGTTTCAGAGGTAAACTCTGTTGCAGCCAAATCCAATATAATTGAAGTAACTGATGACCACTTCTTCTACCTCTGAAACTCCAAATGTGTTTTGTGGACTCAAACACTTCACCCACCCCTCCATCCACATAGAGGTGAGTAGATAATGAGTACATTTTCATTTTTGGGTGAACTATCTCTTTAAGTTCAAGAAGAAGGAGGTTAGTAGAAAGGGATCATTTCAAATGGTTTATGGGATGCCAAGTTCACTCTAAAAAATAATGATCATTTTAATTATTACCTTAGCCTATTTTGCATTTTCTAATATTCTTTTTTGCTCTGGATCAAATATTTTATGATCACAGTTCATCTCTTAGCTGGTCGACCTGGTTTCAAATGCACATGAGATATAAACAGTGAAATCCATGTTGTTTGTGCACGTGGAGGAAAAAAAGGGAAGAGAAGGCAAAAAGTATAGCTTGTATTTTATGTGTACATAGGCAGTGGATATACTGCGTTATAACTACTTCACCCCACTGTTGATCTTGTAGAAAATATAACTATTTCTCTTTACAACAAAATCCACTAGGAAAGCCTCAGACCTGGCAACCCTGCTGTGTTCCCTCCTCTAGAGTCCCCCTCTCCCGTGCGATGGTCATGACGCTGCGCCAGATTTCCCTTCAGAAGTTGACCCTTTTCCTAACTTGGCCCTCCGTCAAACATATGATTGATAAAACACTGTTTGTAATCAACTATGGCACCTAATGGGAAATTCGGCTCCATTCACTAAATCTGTCCAGGTGAGTTTTGGATGTAGAAACCTATGTGGAAGTGCGATGGCTAATCAAAATAGTAGATGTTATGAATGGAGTTTGGAACTACACACCACACGCCCTGTGATGACAGATACTGTCCGTATGATTATACAGTGGGAATAAAAAGATACGCAGAGGCCCATCTACATTACCAGGCGCGGTGGCCAAGTGGTAAGGCGTCGGTCTCGTAAACCGAAGATCGCGGGTTCGAACCCCGTCCGTGCCTGCGGAACGTGGGAGTAACCATATGTCTTTTCTTGATTGGTTTAATGTGGTGGATTCCACCATTCTTCTTCTCCTGAAGACATAGAGGTCGCGTTGACAGATGAAACCAAAGATGAATGAATGTTCTCCCTGTAATCTGAAAATACAGTGAAAGGGTTTCTATGTAAGAATTAGGTGAAAGGTATTTTTGGCAGAAATTCAATATATAATAATCCTAGTGCTGATTTCACTGGTGTGTTTCATCTAAATTGAATGAATTGTTGTTTTCTTTACCATAGAATGAACACTTATATTTTAAAACTTTATATCTACATGGAGGCGGGGGTCCTCTCTGTGGAGGCCACCATGTTTTTTACCGTCGTCCAAACTGGAAGAAACTAAAACCTTTTGAGTTTTTATGACAATTGAAATTCACCACAGGTTCTCTTTCATGTTTGGAAGGAGAGGGTGAGGTGAGTGGTGTTCAGTTGCAACATGCAACTTCACTTCTAGATGTCACTAAATTCTACACACTCAACCTTTAACAAGTTATTAGACATTTCTCAGAAACATCTACCCCAAAGTATTTTTTGTCACCAAAATATTGTGTTCTTTATTGTGACTTCCACTTGAGGGCAGCCAACACATGTAGTTGGTCCAACACCCTGCGCGTCATCTACTTTGTAGAATTGACCCTGGGAGGATGCTGTTGAAGAGGAAAAGGCTGCTGTATGCAGACATGGGATTTGAGGAAGAACGATTGGGCTGGAGAGCAAAAGTCTGCCCTGTGGAGTTTGGCTGCAGGGGATCATTGAGACATCCACCATCAGATTGCTCAGAGATCTGGGGATCCTGGGTAAAGCCCTGCATCATGAAACCTCACACAGAACGCTGCATAGCTCTGGATCCGGAAGAAAGATCCCTCTGGGTACGAAGATGCGAGGGACATGCACCTGATCAACCTGTCGGGGGCCTGCCTTAGAAGAGGGTGTCTTGTGATTGAAAGGCTGAAACACCTGGTGACGCTAAGGTAAACAACTGAAGACAAGTCCCAAACATCCACTGGTGGTCACTTATATCCAGTCACATCAATTGGTGGCAGGCATTAATTTAGTGTGGTAGAACATACAAGGGATATTCAGTGTTTAGTTTGAAAGGGCATAGAGGTAATGATGTCTGATCTACTGAGTGGCCACATGGCTTTCATGGTCAGATTTACCTTTAGCCTCAGTGTACCCTCAAGAAGGCCTGTATAGATAGATAGATAGATAGATTCCTTTATTCATCCCCGAAGGGAAATTAAGTCGTCATAGCAGCTGGTATATTTGAATACAATAAAATACAATACAATAGAATAAAATAAAATATTGAGGTAGAAAGAATAAAAACAGAAACACAAAATGAATAGGTAGATAAGATAACGTGCAGTGGCAATATGATGGTAATAGTACTGATGATATGATGGTAATGTTATTGTTAGACAGTATATAAAAATAGTACAGTATATATATATACAGTATATAATATAACATAATATATATTTATAAAGATAGCACTTATACCAATATAATAGCAGTATATAGTCATAATGGCAGAAACAGTATATATAATAATAGTAGTAATAATATAATAATAATAACATGTACACATGTATAAATATGTGTATATAGACTTATATATACAAAGAATGTACAAAGAGTATGATATAATATGATATGATATATAGTAGAGGTATAAATATAAGTATTTGACTATACAATAGATAATATAATATACTATGAGTGTAAGAATATGTAGACAGAGTGTGCAAAAAGACAATATTATTGTATAAAATGATATATAATATCAATATGGTTTAAATGAACACATATCACACATGATGAGAAGTAAATGTTCCAGTATATGGAGCGGAGTGTTGTACAGGGTACACAGTGCAAGGAGACAGGTATATTTAGTGCAGTTCTGTGATGGTGGCTCTGACAGAGGTAGATGAGTTATAGAGGCTTATTGTGGTTGGGAGGAACGCTTTCCTGTATCGTTCCTTAGAGCACTGGGGTTGAATGAGCCTGTGGCTGAAGCTGCTCTTTAGTTTGTCCAGTGTTTTGTGGAGGGGGTGAGAGGGATTGTCCATGATTGCCAGCAGTTTAGTCAGCATCCTGTCCTCCACCACCTCCTCCAGGGTGACAAGCTTAGAGCCAACAACAGACTCGGCTTTACTGATGATTTTGTTCAATCTGTTGGCGTCCTTTGTCTTGATGCCCACACCCCGGGACACCACAGAAAATAAGATGGTGCTCGCCACAACAGACTGATAGAACATCTGCAGCATCTTGTTGCAGACATTGAAGGACCCGAGCCTCCTCAGGAAGTAAAGCCGGCTCAGGCCCTTCTTGTAGACGGCCTCTGTGTTGGTGGACCAGTCCAGTTTATTGTCCAGTGTGACACCCAGGTACTTGTATGCAGGTACCACCTCCACATCCGTCCCACCGATGCAGACAGGCGAGGGCAGGGGCTTGTTCCTCCTGAAGTCCACCACCATCTCCTTCGTCTTCGCCATGTTGTTCGGAGAAGCAGTAGAGGCAGTCGTAGAGGCTGTGGAGGGTCCGCTGGGGGTGGGGGGGTTGGAGTTGAACCTATTGAAGAACGTGTTCAGCTCGTTCGCACATCGTTCATTCTCAGCTGCTCCCCCACCTGTCCTCTGGAAGCCGGTGATCTCCTTCATCCCACTCCAGACGTCTATGGTATTGTTGTCCTCCAGTTTGTGCTCCAGTTTTCTTCTGAAGTTGTCCTTGCTCTCTTTGATGCTGCGCTTTAGCTCCCTTTGTACCCATTTGAGTTCTGCTCTGTACCGTGATCTAAAGGCCCTCTTCTTGTCGTTGAGAAGGGCCTTCAGGTCGCTTGTTACCCACGGTTTGTTATTTGGGTAACAGCAGACCTCTTTAGTGGGGATGGTGTTGTCTATGCAGAACCCAATGTACTCAGAGACACAGTCAGTCAGGCCATCAATGTCCTCACTATGTGGCTCATACAGAGCATCCCAGTCTGTGGCCTCCAGCGCTCCATGCAGTGTTTCCATGGCTTCAGGAGACCATTTCCTCACTGTTCTCACTTTGACTGGGTGCTGCTGAACCACAGGCTTGTATGATGCTGAGAGCAGGACTAGGTTGTGGTCTGACCTGCCCAGTGGTGGCAGGTTGAGTGTTAAAGGTTGAGTGTGATGAAGGCCCCGGGGTGTTGTGTCTGTAATCCTGCAGTCACAGTGTGGATGACGTCACACGCTGCTTCTGCGTTCCCAGATGGAGGAATATAAACACTGATAAACTCTCTCGGCAAATAATATGGACTTTCTCTTTAACGGTGACGTGCCTGGGGTGACACCACCTGTTGTTCACGAGCACGGCGAGGCCCCCTCCTTTCTTCTTGCCGGTCGCGGTGGTGTCTCTGTCGGCTCGAACCGTCTTGAAGCTGGGAATGGTGACGTTGGAGTCCGGTATCTGCTCGTGTAGCCATGTTTCCGTGAAACACACAATACTGGGCTCCCTGTACTCCCTCTGTGTCCTGATGAGCGCTTCCAGTTCGTCCACTTTATTTGCCAGTGACCTCACGTTTCCAGTGATGACTGCAGGGATGAAGAGCTTAAACTTCCCCTTCTCCATCCTCCGTTTAAGCCCCGCTCTGCAGCCCCGCCGTCTCCTCTTTAGCTCCTCCGGGATGGTGGGTCTCTCTCCGGCCAAGAGGGTGGTGTGCCTCAGGGCCATCAGCTGGTCGCGGGTGTAAACAATGTATTGAAGTGCGGTTAAAAGTTATAAAAAGTGTCCAATCGGTTGCAAAAGCATCTCGTCATTGTGCGGTACGAAGATGCACAGAGCATTGCAAAAATAAATATAAAAAACAAACAGCAAACGTAATAAAAACACAAAAGACCGACAGTAATACACGGAGCTGCTACGACAGGCTCCCGTTAGTACGGCGCCATTTTTTCCTTTGTATCATTTATTACAAGGCTAAAACACATGATGGCGCTAAGATGGACAACTGAAGTTATGTCCATAACATCCCCTGGTGGCTGCTAACACCTGCTAACATCTACTGGATATTCACCATCTAGTCCTATATTCTAAAAAGATGTAACTTTACTAGCCATATTGTTTTATTGTTGTACTTTTTATTATAGTACATATTACAGTACTTTGGTCAACTCTGCTTGTTTTAAATGTGCTGTATGTTGAAATGGAACATTTTGTTATAAATCTGAAAATCAGTAGAGTGGACATATCATCAATAAGTGATCATCAAATTAGAATCTGAGGTAAGAATGAGGTGATCTGTCAAACATGACAACAACTACTTCTGCTACTAACTACTATATGTTCTTATTTTGACATTTCATGTAATTTATTCCAACACAACAGACATTGTCAAAGTGTTTTTATTAGACTGAATAAAATTGTTGAAATACGAAAGTGACAACAATGGCACTGACATTGGTGCACAGACATACATTTGATCAGCAAGCCTTCTTCTTCACAAAGCTCATACAGGTGTAAAGTGGCTGCATAATTCCAGGATTAAATCTACAGCTCTCGAGGAATAATATCTACCTGCCCGTTGACTTTAAGATCTATGGCTTCCCAGTCGAAAATATTTCCTCTTGCCGTTCTCTTCCCTGCATAAATTTCTTGGATTGTGCTGGCTGGCAGGACAGAGTCCCACAAATTAACGTCAGAGATCTCCCCAACGAAACTCTGTTTGGCATCATATTCGCCCATAAAGGAGTCCGGATCTTGTCCTATAATGACCTTACCCCCGGGGCGGATAGTGTGACCCTTCTTGTAAATCTTGGACAAGCTTTTCCTTCCATCCATGAAGATGGTAGCTGCACCGGATCTGGAGTCCCAGGTGAAGCACAGTTGAGTCTCTAGGGCCCCGATCTGAGGGAGGTCGAATGAAACTCCTTCTCCGCTCAGGTAAAAGGACAATCTGAACACACAGAGGCAAGATTCAGAGTTTCAGAGGAATGAACGTCACACATAAAAATACATTAAAGAAAACATAGTGTGTAGTTTTACAGTATCGTAAGTATTATAATTAGTGTTTACAGTAGCTGTAGCAGTAATAGTAAAAATAAGTAAAAGTATGAATGTGTTTAGTCATGTAATTAGTCGTATTAATTGTAGTGGGAATAGTATTACTGGCCACATGTTACTTTTAGTACTCGTGTTATTTGTAGAACATGTAGTATTAGTAATAGTAGACGTAGTAATAAGAGGAATAGTAATATTGTAAAGCCATCTTTAAGAGATGGCTGACATTAAATAATGAATGTAATAATATTACATTGCATGAGTTTATAGAGTTTTTAAAATAAAAAACAGTAAGTATAAATTTTAAATTATATTTTATAATCACATTATACCTTTTCCCTTTTAACTACATTTTATTTTTTGTTCTATCTCATTTTAAAACAATATTTCTCAATATGTGGGCTCAGTGCTGTTTGATATATATGCTGTGACGTACTAAATTTTGTATTTGTTACAAGGGGGTTTCATGGTCTTCTGACTTATATTTCTTTATTTTTTCTGTGAAATATTATTGTTTTTATCATAATATAGTAGTGGACATTTTAGTTGTTAGTTGTAAGTAGTACTGCAAGAAGTTGTGATTCAATAGTTACTCATCTTTCGTAAAAGTAGTATTAGTACAAGAAGATATACCAGTAATAGCAGCGGTAGAAGTGAAGATATTGTCAGTTGAAGTAGTATATTTAGCAGTAGTATAGTTTTAAGTGAAGTATTGTTACTGGATAAAGTGGTGTGAGAAGTAACTGTTGTAGTCTTGGTAGTATTAAAGTACTAACACATGTGTTAAGAGTGGAAGAGTAGCACCAACAGTCTGCACTGTACCTGCCATCCAGCTCACGCCACACGTTCAGCTCATCATAGTATTGTGTCCTGTACGCAAACAGGATGACCTCTCGCTCCCCTTTGAGCTCCGTGGCCACACGCATGCACAGAGTGAAGGCATTCAGGTTCAGGGGCTTCATAGGGACCATCTCAACAAAACTGTTACTGCTCTCAGTCTGGAACACCATGGTCTTAATGATGACGCTCCCTGAGAGACCAGAGGTTTGTCGAGGAGTTATGAAAGCAAACATTATCTAGGCCCAATAAGTAAAAATCCTGCAAAGGTCTATAATAATCACTGTTACTCAAATGTTTTACAACTTGAAAAATAGAAATAGGAAAAGCCTGTCCTAAACAGTGGTCCTGATCTGTAAATGCCTCAGTTACTGTAAATATTTCATTGCACTGAACACACAAATCATATAGGTCATTAATTAATATTACTGGTCAACACTGCAGAGATGGCAATGAGAAAAGCGACGACTGGAAGTCTCATCTTGTCAGATCTGCAGAAAGAAAGACAATTTACTCATTGACTCATTCAGCTTCTCTTCATGCATCATGTACTGCAGTTAAAACAATATGCACTGACGATGAGAAGAAATAAAGCTTGAGACATACATGTTGCTGTTGCCCAGGTAAAGAGAAAGTGAACAAGATGTATAATCTCAACAAGGCTTTTTAAAGTTGTGTGCTCCTTCCACCAGACATTCTTATGTACTGACCTGGGATCAATGATTGTGACTGTTTGTTTGCATTCAATCATGTAAGAGTTCAGAGGTAGCTTTTCCAGTGAAATGTGCCTGAATCCATTAGAAGAACACAAAGTTCAGAGGGGAACAACCGAGCGGTGCTCACTGGACAATATTCAGCCTTTTAGTTTGACAAGAACCAGGAAAACAAACAACATGTTAAGTCATGTTAATGTAGAGAATAATCCAAAAGCCTATGGATAAGTCCCATTGGTTTCTGGAGGTAGAACCTCATCGCCCTGAGGCTAGCATCCACGAAGCCTACAAAATATATTATCCACTCTGTGGATGAGCAGTTGTAAAATATTTTTTTCTTGTTCACAGGATGATTCAGTGGAAAGAAGGAGAGAGGTCACTATCAGTTGTCTGGTGGCATACCTCCGAGAAAAGGAGGAGAAGCTCTTCAAAGAGCACTTGGTAAGAAACACTGAAGTTCAAACAGGTAACTTGTTACTCTTGTTTTTAAATATGATGACTTAAAACACCAAAATACTTTCTGACCTACTTATGCCATGAGGTGATGGAGATTGTCGTCACCAGAGGTGCCATAATGTCTGACACCACCATTGCAAGGACAGTGATCGAGGGAACACAAGTCCTGGAAAACCTGAATGTACCAAGAGCCTGTGCCTTGCTAATGGGGCTGATAGACTCGCTCAACCTCAGCTATCCAAAAGAACTGATCAAAACATTTGAGGTATTTCAAAAGATATTCCTTGGACTGAATGGTCTGAAGGCGAGCCCAAGGGAAAAATAAATAAATAAAAATAAATGTCCTCTGTAATAAAGAAATTGCCTTGTGCCTTCGGTGGCGCGTTCACATATGCACGGGCACACTGGAAACCTGCACACACTCTTGTTTAAGGGCACGTTCGTGTGGCTACATCCGAGAGCATCGCCACTTCTGGTAGTGGACTTTTAGGCTAAAACAGTCTAAATGCCGGGGCACACTTGAATGACACCACACGAGCAGTATGGAGGCATGTTATGTTTTTTTCTGTTGTTTTATTACGTCTGAAGAAGAGGTCACCTTTGCTGAAACACTGTTTACCCCTGAGGCTCCTTCACCCATCCCTCCACTTGCATAGTGTTGAGAAGATAAGGAGTATATTTTCATTTTTCGGTGAACTGTTCCTTTAGAAGATTCCTTTTTGATAAAGCTTAGAGTTGGAGCTGGTTCGAGCTCTTAGTTATGCTGCTGTAGGCCTAGAATGTCAGGGGACACAAGGCACACAGAGCTTCTCTTTCCTCTTCTCCCTGTCACATTAATGTCTCATCAATACATGTTACTGACTTTACTTCTTCCCCGGAGTCCTTGTGCTTTATCGTTTGCAGACCCAGGACTGCTACTGCGTGGATCAAGATGGTGGATTGCGAATCAAATTATATTAATACAGTAAATATCCACTTTATTGGAGATTATATTCTATATAATTTAGTTCATTTTACCTTGCTAAATTCTCATATTAGATTCCATCTGCCTTAAAGGTTCAGTGTGTAGAATTTAGTGACATCTAGTGGTGAATTTTCATGTTGGAGTTTAACACCCCCCCATTTTTGTTTTATCCTTTGGGTGTTGAAAATGTGCTTTGCATATTAAGCTCATAATTAATATCATTTCTGCATGATGAACTGGGGAACTGTTTTACCACGATATTGGGGAGGAGGCGGGGCTGACGCGGTGTTTCCTCTTATGTTGTCTTCCTGCTCTATGGTGTGGCAGGACAACCTGTGGTAGCTTCACTCGTCATAAAAACTCTTAAGGTTTTAGTTTGTCTAGTTTGCGCTACAGTAAAAAACATGGCTGCCTCCACAGAGAGGACCCGCTCCTGATGTAAATATTAGGTATCACGATCACGATCCATCACCATTATCCATGATCAGGATCCACCATCAGGATCCACGATCCACCACCATAATCACGATCCATCAAAACTATGATCCACCATCAAGCTCCATCACCACTATGATCCACCATCACGATCCATCCCCACTATGATCCACCATCACGATCCATC